AATATGTATGACGTCAATAAAGTATTTTTTTTTATTGGACGACGTAAAATTTAAGATCTAGACAGAATAACTTGCCAGAGCTCAGTATGACACGAATGAGGGTTTCTAGACCGGCAAATTCAAATTAGAACATTTTACACTTTATGTGACATTATTAAAATACATTTCTTCAAAGAAAAGGGTGGAAGGTGGAGTGTTAAGAAGGTACCTGCAGTACCCCCTTAGTCCGCGTCCACCCCATTAGTCAGCCCTCACCAGTGAAAATAAGCACAAAAGATCACGGTCAAACAGACTGAATTTACCTAATAACGCTATAATTTGCGTGAGCAATAATTGTTGTATTTGAATGGATGCTAAATAAATAAATGAAAAAAAGAAATTAAAGGAGCGGTTCCACTTCATCGGGCATTTACCCCCATCCCATCACTCACCTTGGGATGCCCTTATCTCCAGAGGCAATTTGGCTTCAGATTTAGGATGGAGTCAAAATGTTTTAAAGAAATAAATAAAAAAATAAAAACAAAAGAGAATGTGTCGGGAAAAAAATGATTCCTAGAATAATTGACCTCAAAATGAAAGGGGGTCGAGGTCCTTCCTGGAAAAATGTTGTTTCCTAAATGGCGAGAAATGAGATTTCCCGACTTTTGAGGTGTATTTTAATGACATTTAAGTTTTTTAAAGTTCAAGATTTTCCCTTAATTGAAAACAGTCATGTCAACTTTGTCATTTTTATTACAGTAAACAGCCCTAAAATGAGAAGTTGCATTCGTAAGCCTATTTTGTTTTCCATGAACCGATGAACCCCAAATAGGACGGTGGTGGGAAAATGTTGATTCCTATATGTCGGAAAACGGGTTTTCTCAACTTCTGAAATTTTGGTTTCCCTCTCTTGACGTTTTTTAATGAATCGATGAACGGGTAACTTTGATTATCGAAATATTAGAGGTGATGATATTATTCATTCTTTGTCCTGGCAATCGTTTGAAGAGAGAAGGGATTTTGCCATTGCGAGTCTTATGTATAAATGTATTCAAGGTCTTGCGCCGCAAAGGCTTTTAAATGAAATTGTATTAGTATGTGATAGGCACACACATTCAACCCGTAGTGGGAACTTACTTCGAGTGGTTACTCTTATACACATCTAGATGTGCCTAAACTTAACTCGTATAAAATGAGTTCGAGTCTTAAGGTTGCCGGAGCAAAAATCTGGAATGAATTACCTTCAAATATCACCCACTCACCTTCAATTTATTTTTTCAAAAAGACTCACAAGGCTCACTTCTTCCCCCTTAATTGATTTCTGGCCTTGTCTGATTACTATTTAGGTTTTTCTGCTTTTGAAAAGCCGCACCCCCTTATTTGAGGTGGCGCCGTCAACTTAGCAGTGCACGGTAG